AGAACACTTTGTACCAACTAGGTCACCAACTGGGGGCATGTATAGATACCACTGGGCTTGGGAAGGATTGAGAATTCAGTTTCCACTTCTTGTTTCTTGTGAGCCTTGTATTCCGTGTGATCTCGTGAATACATGGTGCCATCAGACTCGTGTTAAAAATTGACTAGGGTATATTGTGCTCATTGTGCATCAAAAGAGGAAGTTACGCTGTGCTGCCTACATCGCGTCGCGATATCCAAGTGAGACGAGGGTGCCGAAACCACGCACGCATGATGAAAAGGCTGAGCAATTGCCCGTCATATCATGTTCACGATGAAAACGCAGCCACATCGCAGGGGCACGGGCCGCAGCATGGCCAGGGCTCGTCCGTCGCGAGCCGCGCACCATGGCCAGGAGCAAGGGCGCCGCTAGCCGCGCCATGTCAGGTGCTTGGGCCATCGCAAGCCACGCGCCCGAGGAGCACGGGCCACCGCCAGGCGCGCCACGGGCCACCGCCAGCAGCGAGTCATGGCCAGGAGCAGCGGCAGCTATTGGCAAGGAGCTCCTCCATCTGGCATGTCGCCCGACAAGAGAACCCTGCCTTCGCGACGAGGAATGCGACGGCCGCGCCACCTCCTTTCGCTTGGCCGGTGACCTGGCCCGCCGGCGAGCTGCCGGCGCCGTTTCTCAGAGATCACGCGAAGGGCCCGATTGCTTTTCTCAGAAAATAGTCAGGGACCTGATTGCTTTTTTAATAAGTTACAAGGACCTGATTGCTTTTTTTAAACTTATAGAGATACTGACATATGGGCCCTACATATAAGGTAACAGTCAAACAAACGGTTCTCTTACGTGCGGGTCCCAACTGTCATAATCACGATTAATTTTAAAGCACTCTGTTTTTTGAAACAACCAACCCCTGACTTGGTAGTTATCAGCGAAAAATTAAAAAGCGGTAGTTTTTTGGAACCCTAGCCTGTAAAGTAATAGTTTTATGCTATTTACTCTGTGGAAGACCATTGATATGCATAACATTCATGGGATCCCTCCTAGGATTGAAGGGGAGAGGCGAGGGTTGATATTTAGAGTGAGATATGCTGCGGTTACTGATGATATATTTCTATATGTGGGCAACAGTGTTTACATGGTTCAACTCAAGTCGGTGCAATCTAGGAAACTTTGTGAAACCAATTATTTTGATGGTCATTATTCTTTCAAAAGTTTATATATGCCAGGTGATTGTTCTTCACTTGTCCTCATACTGTAGGAGTAACCTTATCTTGTTATGTTCTGTACATGGATGCCCAAATACATTTGCTGGAGAGACAGACTTATATCCATGCTGTTATGATTTAATGTAGCTGTACTTTGAGTTATCATTCAACATAGTTGTCTTCATTCTTCGGAGATAACAAAAATATCAAATGAAATGAGTAACACTGTTAATTCAAATGTCAAATGGTTAACTCAATCGGTATGTTCGGAACCTCAGCTAGCTATATTCTTCTACTCAGTACTTTCAATCTTGCCATTTTTCTTGACTCCATAAAAGAACTTCCGTTGTAACTGTACCTTCCAGAATAATAGTTTTCTTTGTCAGTTTTTCAAGACTGTCCTGCTGTAGCACATGTTTTCTCCATGTGTGTTATCTCTAAATCAGGCTCCTTAAATACCCAAGATAATTTTTGTTGATAGTGTTTATGAGTTTTGACATGTTTTTATTCTGTCTTCACTTAATTCATCTCTGTAACAGACTCACCGTTGTCTTCTCATGCTTATGCTTCTAGGTGCAGCCATTGCTTGTGGACGTTATGCAGTTGAAATGCTGCTGGAGACATAGGATTTTACTGTGTTGTTTGGTGTGCTATTGTGCTGAAACAGTTCACCAGGTAAAAAGATCTTCTAAATATACTACGTGAGATTTGAACAGTGCGATTTTCTCTTTGTAAAATATCTGGTGGCCACTGTGGTTAGCATGCACCCTCAACCTACTGTCCATTGGGCTATAGCGATTCGCACATGCTAATAACGAAATAATCAACTACAAATGTGGTGATGCCAAGTAAAAACTAAAAAGTGATTCCTTTTTGACCATAAATGATATCCAGATGATTCAAATGTTGCATGCCCAGAGTGCTCTCTTGGTTTAGCTGTTCCAGAATCTATAAGTTGAAAGCAATATATTACTAGCCCATCTTGTTATTACAAACACTAGTCACATCGTTCATCTTCGTCACCCAACAAATTCAAGTGAAAAGGGTGATGGTTTATTTTTGCTATCATTGGTATTCCTAGGAGATATATACAGTAATAATGTTACATCTTTTTTCTCTGATATGATATAGGTCTTCTTTATGTTGTTGAGCTGACCATGAAATTGTACACACATCTTGTTAATGCACTGTTATATAGGTGCTATTATTAGATATTATATTCGTTTGTATTGGATTACTAACGGATTAGTGTTTTTTTTGGGTTCCAGGTGAAGAAAGGGTCGCTGCAATTGTTAGTTGTCACTCAGTTTGTCACATCACATCAATGTGGCCACGGCAGTTTCTAAATGTCATCTAAAAAAAGCTTATCATGCCTAAGTCTAGCCAAATTTCTAATGTAGCAAGATGCTTTTGAATAGCTAATCTTGGGAGTTGGCATCTCTTGCCTGAATTTTTTAGCTGGTTTAAATGAATGAACCTTGAAACTGAGGTTGTTGTTGCTGTCTAGTATTTTGTAATGGCTGCTGCTACTTGCTAAAACTGTGGTGGTGTTCTTAGTTTCCTGTGTGTAGGATGTTAAGCGCTCCTGGCTTGTCGTTTCTGTGATGGTTCGTTTTCCATGTTTAAGACCCAACTTAATGTGGCTGACACTGACATTGCTGCTGCATGTAGTGGTTCATATGCGCCATCATTTATGCCCATATTAGCTGCTTGATTGGAAGTGACTGGAACTGGACTGTTTTATGTGTTAAAACTTAAAAGTGATCATGATGTCTTTCCTATCAGTATTAGTAAAGGAGAAATGTTCCATATTTACTATAAATAGTTTGAGCATAAAATAAAACAAATAATATCAGCAGCAGCTAAAGCAAAAAAGATTACAGACGGAGTACTCTTCATTTGTGAGACAATGATATTACATCTTATCAACTGCTATATTCATGCCGACAAAGTTTTCACAACAAGTGCAAGTATAACTTCAGTTTTGGCAAGTTATTGTTCACCTAGCTAATAATATATGCCTATATCCATTATTATAATTTAGCAATTAAGCATCGTTATAGCATTTGGAGTTCTCCATCCTCTAACTGCTGGCCATTACATGTTTCCGCACAAAATTTAACACTCCACAAGAGTTGGGAAGCAGCATAGTGGATTGTTTTATATACTCGGTACAAGTACAACCGGTGACTATAGCTTCCAGTGAGTTAAGTACATCATACATCATACATCATCTCACACATTACTACATCACAGATTAATATTTTTGCTCACCCTCCTCTAAGATTGCAGTCAGTTGGGGTGACTTGACAGATCATAGATGGTAGGAATCATCTACATGGGCATGCCCCTGCTCGCAGAAGAATGGCCTAGACGGCATTTTCAGGCCATCGGGACCATCTTCCAGCGTCTCTATCACCTTGCTCATGTCTACACTTAATTATGTAAGTTCTCACTCTGGAACCCCAATTTTTAAAACTGTGGTGGCGTTCTTAGTTTCCTATGTGTAGGATGTTAAGCGCTCCTAGCTCGTTGTTTCTGTGATGGTTTGTTTTTGTTAAGTTTGTTCCCCATGTTTTTAAGACCCAACTTAATGTCGCTGAAGCTGAGGTTGCTGCTGGGTGGTTCATATGAGCCATCATTATGCAGATATTTGCCGTTTGATTGAAACATTTGAAAGTGACTGCAACCGGACGGTTTTATGTGTTAAAAGTTGGTATTTCTGACGTGGTACCCGACCCGTCGCACTTGTGCATGTGAAATCGTTAGTTTTCACGGGAAAATGAGCTCATCCATACGATGGGTTTGCAGCTTATGCGGCCACCCCTCTCATCGTTGCCACATAAATCCCTAATGTATGCATGACCTCATTTTCCATCCATTAGAAGAGCACCGCTTGGTGAAGAGGTTATGAGAAGCGACATATATTCACTGTTTTCTGATGCACTAATGGCTGGGGCGTGCATGCCCATAGCGCACATGGGTCTAATCTTATTAATGAAGGACGTGCTAGCCTTTTCTGTATTGGCAATGGCGACTCATGTTTGTAATCCAAGAGCGTACTTAGGACCCAAACATGGTTTTGATCACAGTCCAGTTCGCCTCTTTGGAGAGGTATTGGCAATTGTCGCGCGGTCTCCTTACACATGTCTTGCATGATCACCTCTTTGGAGAGGCGTTTAGCAGCTAGAAAAGCACCTGCAGGTCATGCGTGAGCTGAGTAGCGTAGAGGGGATTGGGTGCCTGGCCCGTCATCTCCTTGTGTTTGTGACTTACACCGTCTTGGGTGACGTGGCGTCAGTGCCTTCGAGCAGGCCGGTTAGCAGCACCCCACACAGCTGTGGAATGATCTAGTCTCTCCACGTTAGGTGATTTCCTCTGGTCAGTTCCTCCGAGGGTGGCGTGCTTAGGGCAGCCCCGTTGGAAGTTGACGTGGTGGCCATAGTGGAGATCGGGGTAGAGATCGCTAGATGGAAGAGGAAGAATCTATGCTTTGACACCATGTAGGATTTCAGGAAGCGTCTCATGCCCCAGAGGATGTGGCGTACAATGTATTTATATTGTGGTACTTATCCCGTAATAGCACACAAGAAGGAAATTACATCCGGAGGTTATTGGACATGATACATAAGGAAAACTAGAGATTACATGGAATATGGTTAAGGTTTATCTCGACCAAACCGTGTACAATGATAGAATCTAGAAGGTTCTAGTCTATTCCTATGGCATATCCTAACAACTGCATCATAGCTTCTTGACATCTTCAATTTGGTTGCATGGTTATCTGAACAAAGCAAGCAATGTTGATTAATGACTGGCTTCATTCGGTGCAGCTGCTATCGATTTATTGTACGCCACTTGGATCTTCTTCAGCTTCACAACCACATCGCTCATTGTCATCCTTTGGTCAGGAGAGTTGCTAGTGCAGGCCAAACCCAACTCGAATATCGGCACAAGAAAGCCTTCCATGCTGCTAGTGAGAGGCCCTTGTAGTAGCTGATCATCCACAACACGAACAAGTTCTGCAGGAAACGCCTCAACAACCCACTGTCTCAGGCTTATATCCCCGACAAAGAACGCATCTGTGGGTCTCTTTCTAGTGAAGACTTCAAAGAGCATGATTCCAAAGCTGAATACATCACTTTTTCGTGAAGCTTTTCCCTGAGCCCCATACTCTGAAATTAAGGCGTGTCTGATTAACTTAATTACTCAATGGTTCAATAAGAAGTACATTGAGGAAGAAAAGTGCTAGCTAGTAACAGTACCTGGTGCCATGTAGCCAACAGTTCCAGGCATGCTCGCTGTGATTGTAGAGCTATCATCACCTAGTAACAACCTTGCAATGCCAAAGTCTGCCACATGTGCTGTCATGTCCTCATCGAACAACACATTGCTAGGCTTCAAGTCACAGTGCAAGACCACCTCGTAGTGTTCATGGTGAAGATACTCCATTGCCAATGACACATCGAACATGATGCCTAGTCTCTCACTGAATCCCAATTGTGTTGTACCTTGAGAGTTGTGTAGAAGCATCTCTAAGCTGCCATTGGGCATATATTGAAGCACCAATGCCCTAAATTCCAAGTTGGAGCAGGTATTGAGTATCCTCATTAGATTGCGGTGTCGTGCCATCCGTAGTACACCGCACTCTGTATCAAAGCTTCTCATCGCTTGTTCTAGCTGCATGTCTAGAACTTTGATGGCAACAATCAAACCATTGCTTAGCTGGCCCTTGAAAACTTTTCCAAAATATCCAGACCCTAGCAGGTTGCTCTCACTAAAATTATCAGTTGCTTGAACAAGCTCATGGTACGAGACCAGGTGATGGGTGGGCATGTCAACCATACCGGGAGAAGCTGATATCCCTTGCTGCTTCTTAATCTTCTTTCTGGCTGTTACATATATGCAGAAAGCTACAAGTCCAATTGATATGATGATAGTAGGGAGCAAAATTTTCAACATGCGGCCATTATTAGTTCTTTTAGAGTTACTTGGGCACATTGGAAATCCTAAACGTGAAGCACCACAAAGCCCTGAATTCCCCGTCAAGGATTGTTGACTAATATTTATGAAGACACCGCCTTTTGGTACTTGACCTTGTAGCTTGTTGAAAGAGAGGTTCAAGCTGGTCAGGATGGTGAAATTGACTAGGTACTTTGGTATTGTACCAGAGAGACTGTTATGTGATAGGTCCAAACTTTGCAAGCTGGTTAGCTTGCCAAAAGATTCTGGCAATGAATCATCAAATGAATTGTGTGACAGGTTCAAGTAGGCTATCATTTCGAGTTGGCCAATCGAATATGGGATGCTACCAAGCAAGAGGTTGGCAGAGAGGTCCATGCTGTAAATTTGCTTCAAATAGCCTATATCAACTGGTAATGTGCCAATCAAGAAGTTTTGAGACACATCTAGCTGAATGAGACTGTCAAGATGAAATAAACTTGATGGGATAATTGATGATAACTGGTTGGCAGACAGTATCAGGTATTCTAACTTGGTTAGGTTACCAATCCCCTCTGGTATTGGACCAGACAATTTATTGTTGTAGAGGAACAAATGTCCTATATTCTTGAGCATTACAATCTGAGGTGGGATGGACCCAAACAAGTGATTTCCGGCGATTCTCCATCATTACGACGGATTCTGGAATCGTGCTATCCAACTGATTCTTTGAAAGATCTAGCCATTCAAGACCTGTTAGGTTTGAAATCGTAGCCGGAAGTTCACCGACTAAATTGTTCTCAGATGCAATGAAAATCTGCAGCTGGCTTGAAAGGTTCCCCACATAGCTAGGAATGCCACCGGTGAAATTATTTGAAGAGATGCGAATAAACTGGAGCTTTGTAAAATTAGAAAAACGGGATAAGAAGCTTAGATCCCCCTCTAGGCGGTTCTCTGAAATATCAATCTCAATCATAGAGTTGGTACTACCGATTGTTCGTGGTACTGATCCAAGGAACATATTTTTGTTTAAGATCAGGAATGCTAATTCAGACAGGTTGCCAATAGAAGCAGGAATGGATCCGACTAGTTGGTTGATTGAGATATCCAACACAGTGAGTTGGTCCAACTGTCCAAATTCTTCCGGAATGGCTCCTGATAGCTCACAGCCTGGCAGGGCTAGTAAACCTAGCTGAGAGAGGTTGCTAAGTGCAACAGGAATTGGACCAACAAGGTGATTGAAACCCATGGAAAGGAAACTGAGATGAGAAAGCTTGCCCAGCCACGTTGGCACAACACCCTCAAAGGAATTCTCACTGAAGGAGATAGTTTGAAGGTAGCGACAAGAGGATAACCTTAACGGAATTTCACCGGTGAATCTATTATTGTCCAGGTTGATATGTTGCAACGCTGGTAGACTAAAACTTTCGTTATTAGGGATTGGACCAGTTAAGTTGTAGTTCGATACAAGCCAAATTTCAGTTAATCTAGCATTGTTGAATATGGATGGAGGTACTGGGCCGCTGAAATGATTCACTTGAAGATCAAGGTACTCAAGCATTGGTAAGGAGCCAATACAAGATGGTATATGTCCTGACAGGCTGTTGTTACCGGTGCCCAGGTGAGTTATCAGAGGTGTATTATTAAATAGATACATCGGTATTGGACCGCTCAGGTAATTCCTCAAGATACTAAAGTAGCCAAGACTCTGCAGGTTCTGCAGTTCTACCGGGATTGAACCAGATAGATGGTTAAAATATAGGGAAAGAACACGAAGCCTTGTGAGGTTTCCTGTGGTTGTTGGGATGCTACCTGATAGGCCATTGACTCCGAGATATAGGTATTTAAGACGATGAAGCCGTCCTAAATCATCAGGGATGGAGCCCGTGAGATTTGTATTGTTGAGGTTGAGGACGGAGAGGAAAGAGAGATTACCAAGGTGAGGAGTGATTGGTCCATGGAGGGGGGAGCCCGGCAGTTCCAAAGCGGTTACGCGCTGCCGGCGCCGACTACATGCGACGCCAAACCAGTGGCAGAAATTCGTGCCGGTGGTCCAGTTGCTGGCAAGGATGCCAAGAGGGTCGGAGAGCTGCCCTTTGAAAACCAGCAGGGTAGCGAGATCAGTGTCGCTACCATTGCTCTTGCTTGGACCAGGAGAAGAAGATGTGGGTACAGTGGACAGCAGAGTGATCAAGAATAGAATGGGTATGGATATGGATGGAAATCCAAGTGAGGCCATGTGTGTTTGGGACAGAGATGCAAGTGCATGCTTTGGCGTTGGGCTGATGATACCATCCATCCATCTTAATATGGTCGTTTTTGATAGGCTCCAACTTCAGAGTGGTGCTTTCGGTGTAATATTTTTGTGGATTAGTGGAGATAGGCTCCAGCTTTTCCAAGTGGTGCTGTGCTTTCCACATCAAAGACCTTGACTTGCGGTCAATCTATGCTGGCCACTACGACAACAGGAAATAATGGAGACAAAAAGCTTATGTTTGAAAGTGAGATATGTATTAGCAAGACCCAATTGAAATGTTTGTAGTATATTGGAAAATATAAACCCACAGATTTATTGTGTAATGTTTGGCGTGGCTTGCGTCATAGGCCCTGCCTTTGTCCATTTGCAGCCACTTATTTGTGTTGCTTTCTCCCTGTCAAAATAATAAACAGAAAAAGATTTGGACTGAAACCGACCAGATCTTCCTCCTTCCTAATGATGGTGTTCATTTACTCTGTGCTAGGTATGTTCACTGCTGCTAATGCGAAAGGAATGGACAACAATCTCACATGGTGGGATGTGGCATTCATAGGTAAAATTCAGTCTTCCATGATGATTGATGCGATGGCTGGCACTGCAGCAGCTGTTGCATGCTACTACAGCACGACTATAACTGCCACCTGCCGATAAAGATGGGTCGTCCAAACTTGTACCTGAAGATTCTACTCGATGCTACTATACAACCATTACTTCAATATTTTACGAGCCAAGCGCATCATCTAGTCACACATCGATATTTTCACTCATGTCCTCCTCGGAGATTCCAGTCAGCTCGGACAACAAATGGTAACTATCCTCAGTATGGGCATGCCCTTGGTCACAGAAGAATGGCCTGGAATCACAATTTCATGAATAAGATGGCATGGACATATCGGCAGGAGTTGTGCTACTGCTGCTAATGATGCTGCTAATGCGAAAGGATTGGGCCACTAGGATTGTGCCTCACATTTCTTTCATTCATCCATGATGACTGATGCGCTAGCCGGCACTGCGCACCAGCTGTCAGGCAGTACGACTGTTTTTTCGACAAAGGACTTTTCATTGAATAGATATATCAAAGTGATACAATCGCATCGAAAGAAAGTCCAGCCTCTGCATAGCTAGACGCACACAACCAAAAAGTCGAGAGTGCCCTAAGAATAATAAAAATAATTCAGTACAAAGCGAAGCAAATAAATCATGTCGAGGCTAAGGTGCGGTAGATCCTATCCGTAGATCACACCGACATCCATGGGATAGAAAACCTCCTGGCCGAACGCTCCAGTCGTGTAGACGCCATCATAAAAAGGTCCCTGTCCTCCGGCCTCTGCAGCATAGACCAAGTACGGAGCCATCGTGTACAAACATGAATAACCTGCATAGGAGATGAGACACATTTGTTATTGAAGATCACATCATTCCTGGTAAGCCACAGTGCCCAGCATAAGGCCGCCGCTCCCACGAGAATATGTGCAAAAAATTGTTTATCAATACCCCGCAACCAGTTGCCGAACATATTTCGTGCATTACGTGGTGGGTCGATAAAGATGGGTCATCCTTGTCGCCGGTGACTACTTAATATAGAAGTTCAAAGGAAGGATTAGCAAATTAGTTTATTATGTATTATTACGCAAAATTACTCGATGCTTAAAAAGGACGAACTGCAGCAAATGCATAAACATATGTCCTGCAGTTGAGGTTCTCCATCTTCCAAACTAGTACCTGAATATTCAACCAGATTTAAACAAATGTGTTCTGGCAAAAACAAATCTAGTAAAATATGCATTCATAAGAAACTTAGCTTTTGGAATTTGTAGGCGATGTACCCCATACTTTATTATTTTTTATGAAATCCATGGCGAGAGTTAATATAAGGGAAACCATTGTTCCCAGCACAACAGTATAAGAGCATCTCCAGCCATTCGGCCCCCAAGGGCGCTAAAAAAGAGCGGTCTGCGGGCGAACCGGCGCTAGTTCGGCCCCTGGGTGCGACCGAGCTCCCAGTCACGCCCCCAGGCGCCGGCCCTAGGACGCGGAAAATTCGAACTTGGTCGTTTCCGCTCACAAAAGACGCCACAAGTCCGGCGATCACAAGTCACAGTTCGGCAATCGGATATAGTCAGGCGTACAAAAAATAGAGCGGCACAAGTTCGCGTGCGCAACGCATCACTCGACGGGGTCGGCCCCAGGCGTTGGCGGAGTCGGCGTGCGCGGGCTTGACGGTGTCGGAACTGCTTCTGCGCTGGGCGGTGTCGGCGCGGCTTCGGTGTTGATGGGCGTCTTGGAGGCGTCATCACGCGGGCTTGGCAACGGCGTCAGCGTGGGCGTCGGTGTCGGCGGCGTCGTCGAGGGAAGCTGGTTCAGGATGAGGCCGCGCTTCACCAAGTACCACGCCTTGACCACCTCGTCGGTGCTCTGGAGCATGTCCGCCCCACCCAGCAGGAAAGCCAGGTCGGTGTTTCTCTTCTTCGCGGCGACGTTGGTCCGGAGTAGGTCGAGCTTGACGGCGCTGCTCGACATCAACGCCGATCACCGCGCCTCGGTCTTCTCTTTACGAAGGACAGCCCGGGCTTGCGCGTCGGCAAGGCAGTGCTCGATGGACTCTTGCACTCGAGCGGTGGCCGCGTTGTCGTGTTTCCCCTTCTTGGCATCTTTGCTGCCGTCCGGACGCCCTTCCGATGCGCCAGGAGTCGGCGCGTCCGACTTGTAGATCTCCTTGGCCTTGTCGAGGGTGCGCCGGACTTCCGCCCACTTCTCGCACTTGTCAATGCACTTGTAAACGTGGAGGTATTTGAATTTGGCGTCGCTGTTGCTCTGCCGGTACAGGGCGAACATGCGCAGCAACTGCACGGAGGAACAAACAGTTGGCCGGCGTACACGGCGAAGAGAGGCGGGAGACCGGCGTGGCATACCTGATCCTCAACGCTGGCACCGCTCTCCGGGCGAGCCGCGACCTCCTCGACGACCCCATGCCATTTGTTGCACGCCCCCTGGATACGCCCCCAATGGTTCGCCATCGCCTTCGAGCCGCGCTGCATGTAGATGCCTTTGAAGTAGGGGTCGACGAGCTTGCGCTCGTCGAACTCAGCCTTGATGTGCTCCCAGTACGTCTTGATGCTCTGGTTCGTGCCGGTGATTGGGTCGAGGCAGACGACTTTCCATACTTCGGCAAGGCATTCCTCCTCCTTGGGCGCGCACTTGATGCGCGGCTCGCCTGACCTGGCCTCCCGCTTCTTCTTCTTGCGCCTCTTCGCCGGAACAAAAGCCAGCTCCTCCTCCTCCTCCTCCTCCTCCTCCTACTCCTCGTCGTCCTCCTCCTCCTGCTCCTGCTCCTCCTCGCCGTAGATGTAGCCGAGCTCGCCGTCCATGCCGCCGCTGA